CTCTCTCTCTCTCTCTCTCTCTCTCTCTCTCTCTCTCTCTCTCTCTCACCTTTCAACAGTATCTTCATTTATCACCAGAAATAACTACAACAAATACATTTACTTTCTCATTCATATCTAGTCTACTCCCTGATCATGTCACTATTCTTTTTTAGTTCTTTCCACATTTATTTATTTAGTGTCAGATGTGTCAGAGGGAATCGTCATGTCAAGGCATGCATTAGAGGTCAGAGGTCAAATTAATGGAAGTTATATCCCCTTCGGTCCAGGGATCAAACCTAAGTCAAGTTAGGAGCAAGCACAGTTAGCTGCTGTCTTGCAGCCCACACTCTTGTCAGTGTGTCAGTGTTCAGTGTTCCTTCATGATTACTAGTTGATTTGTAAGGAAAGTTGGAAGATACAGACTGACTTTTACACAGGGAACAAAAGTAGCTGCACAGCTAAAGCAGCCAGTGATTGCTCAGAAGGAAAGACAAATCCTTACAAATACTCCACAATGGGCTGCCACGGTGGCTCAGCACGCAAGGACACTTGTTGCCTAAGCTCACAACCTGGCTTTGACTCATGGGAGCCACATGATGGAGAAGACTGACTCCTACAAGTTGTCCTCTGAGTTCCACATGCATGCCATTGCATGTAGAGCATACACACAGAGAGAGAGACACACACATTTTCTCTCTCACACACACACACATTCTCTCTCTCTCTCTCTCTCTCTCTCTCACACACACACACACACACACACACAAACGCACAATGTTCTTTTAAAAAAACACTGCACAAGGGCTGGAGAGATGGCTCAGTGGTTAAGAGCACTGACTGCTCTTCCAGAGGTCCTGAGTTCAAATCCCAGCAACCACATGGTGGCTCACAACCATCTTTAATGGGATCTGATGCCCTCTTCTGGTATATCTGAAGAGAGCAATGGTGAATACATAAAATAAATAAACCTTAAAAAAAAAAAAAAAAAAAACACTGCACAAAAGATTTACAAAATAATGCTGAGCACTGTCATAGTTGCCAGCCAGAGGCAGAAGGATCCCAAGTCCCAGGCCATGTCTGGGCCTGGACAATGAGACTGTCAGGAATCAATGAAGGAGGACTACACACCTCTTCCTCTCCTGACACTGGAGAAGTCTTCACTCTCTCCGCCTCTCTTCTCACGGTGCGGTGCTCCACTGCTACTTCTGCCATCCTCTCCTCCGTGCTTCACTTCGCCTTTTCCCTTGACTGCTACCATCTGCACTTTCCCAATGCTTCCATTTCCAGGAGATTGTTGAGCATCTTCACAAAAACCAGAACTTTCCAAGTGCTGAGTAGGATCACCACCTAAGTAATACTGAAAGTGTCCATTGTTTGACATAAAGCTGTCTAAAGGCTACAAATTCAAAATGACAGTTAGAAGGTAAAAGCATAAATGATAGACCAAAGTTTTCATGGTAATATAAATACTGCTTTCCTAAAAGAATCGTTTCATGTTCCTGCTGAAAATATTCCTTTGTTTAAAAAATTTATATACGGCTTCCCACAGACAGGAAATAATAAAGGTAGGAATTTCCTTTTCAAGGAAAGAGGATCCTTGCTTACCAGCTTAGTAAGGCATCAGAAGAGATTACTGCTCCATTGTCTGCTGAGATTCATGAGAAACAATATGCAGCACAGATTCCAGAGGTCAATCAAATTGGTACCTAACCCTTACTGGAGCTGAGTTGCGACTCAGGTCAGAAATGGCTTCAACTGAAAACAAATGAGTGGTGGTACATGCCTTTAAATAACAGCACTCAGAAACAGAAGGAGGCAGATCTCTGTTGAGTTAGAGGACAGCCTGGTCTACATGGTAAGCTCCAGACTAGCCAGAGCTAGTCAGCCACTGATGCAAAAGCAAAAAGAACCAATGAGTATAAGGTTTCATAGAGACCGGTGGCCAGCGATGTAGTAGGATGGAAGGTGGTTTGAAACTTCCAACAGAATCCTACTGGTCTTAAAAGCCCGAGCACAGACAGCAGGAGCAGGAGAGCTTTGTGGACTAGACAACTTGGTGACATACTACAATAAGTTCAAGAGAGGGAACTGGAGGAGGACAGAAAAAGAAAATTGTTCACATACAGGCAAGTGAAAACTGAAGGTGTCTCAGAGTTCTTGTTGTGGGCTAAAAACACCATGACCAAAAGCAGGTAAGGAAGAAAAGAGTTAACTTCACCATGCAACTTGTAAGTCATCACTGAGGAACTCAGAGTAAGAACATCAAGGAACCCATGAAGGAGTGCTGCTTACTGGCTTGCTCTTCATGGCTTGCTCGCCTGCTTTCTTCCACCATCCAGGAGCATAGGCTCAATGGTGGCTCTGTCCACAGTAATCCGGGCTCATGTACATCATTCTCAATCAAGACCCCACAAGGATATTTTGGTGGGAACATTTTCTCAACTGAGGGTCCCCTTCCAAAAGTTACTCTAGCTTCTTCCAAGCTGACATAAAAGTAGTGCCAGCATACTAGACAAAGAATAGAGTTCAGAAGAGAGAAAACACTAAGCTTACTTCTTTGACAGTTATCAGCCATATCATGGCTGAAACCAAAGAAGCAGTAACCAAGGCTGGACTCCTGAAGATTAAGTCCACGGGTCAACAGAAAAAGGTGACTGCCATGAAATGTATGCCGTAGTGCACAATGGAGGCGTGAGGGAGGCACAGACAGGTGCCATCACAGGTCAAACGCAACACCAGCTGTGAGTACATATGGAGTTCTGAGCCAGCCAGAGCTACATAGTACAACTTCATCTTGAAGAGGGGGGAAAAGGTACAAATCACCAACTTTCATGGGTTTGTTGTTTTGTTTTGGGAGTCTTACTATGTAGCCTTGGCTGGCCTGGGCCTTTCTATGTAAACCAGGCTGACTTCAAACTTGGGGATATGACTGCCTCTGCCTCCCAACTGCTGGAATTAAAGGTGTAGGCCACCACATACAACCACAGACTATTGTTTTAATTTGTTCTTCCAATACTGAATCTTTACTGAAATCTGAATATTATTTTTACTAAAAAATAGTTTCTGCTTTTAAAGGCTTCATTTTTACTTTTAGTTTTGTTTATGTGTGTGTGTGTAAACATCTTGTATGTGAATTTGGAGGTTTTTGCAAATAAGAGTAATGTCCTTGAAGGCCAGAAGAGGCTATCAGATCTCCTGCAGCTGGGTTCATAGGCAACTGTGAGCTGTCTTGACATGGATCCTAGGACTGGAACTTGGGTATTAACTGCTGAACCAGCTCCCCAGCCCTTGAATAAAAAGTTTTCATTGACTGGAGTATAGTCAGTATGAAGAATTTATGTCTGAAGATCATTCAATTTTCTTCACTAATCAATGTTTTAGCAGGAACAGTAGCATACAGAGTTTTATACAGAGAATCTCTTAGGTGGAAGCATCACCTGTTAATAAAAAGCTGATGGCCTATTAGCTGAGGCAGGAAATAGAAGGTGAGAGTTCCGGTAGAGACAGATTAGAACTCCGGAAGCTAGAGAGGTGAGAGACTTTGCCCAGACTCAGAAGAGATGGACAAATGAAACTGAGGAGAGGTAACTAGCCATGTGGCAGACACAGACTAGAATAATCAAACAGGTAAGTTATGAACTAGTCAGAGAAGGAGTCAAAGCTTACAGCCTAGGCATTTATTCATAAATAATTAAGTTTCAGAGTCGTTATTCTGAGAACAAAGAGGCCAGGTAGAAAAGCTCATGGCTACACAGCTTTATATCTACATGCCATAGCATATTTATAAAATACACATATGGTAAATTATAATGGAATTCTATATTATTTTATTATTCTACCATTCATATTAGCATTCTAATTCTAATGTAGTATTCTAATAAAATTATGTGGTCTGTTTTTTCTTTTGTGTGTATGTGTAAAAGCACATGTATCAGTGCAGGCATGTACTCCCATGTGTACACATGTGGAGGCCAGACAATATCTGGTAGCCCACTCTATCACTGCCACACTCCACATAATCCCCTTGATACAGGGTCTCTCACTGAACTAGAGCTGACAGCAGAAACTCCCAGGGGCCATCCTCTCTCTACTCCCCATAGTACTAAAGTGGGGCAGGAACACAGAGCCACTATTGGCTTTTTTTTTTCCTTTGAGACAAAGTTTTACAATATAGCCCTGGCTAGACTAAGCTCACAGCACTCTGCCTGCCTCTGCTTCCTGAGTTCTGGGATTAAAGCTGTACACCACTATGCTGGCCTCTAAACACAGCTTTTGAACAGATGCTGAGAACTCAAACTTAGGTCCTCACATACCTGTGTAGCAAGTGCTCTTACACACCGAGCTATCTCCCAGCCTTAGTATACATCATAATTTATACACACACACACACACACACACACACAACTATAAATGTTTAAACATTTACAGTTTTTTTAGTTGTGTGTGTGTGTGTGTGTATGTGTGTGTGTGTGTGTGTGTGTGAGAGAGAGAGAGAGACAGAGAGAGAGACAGAGACAGAGAGAAAGTGTGTGCATGTGTTATGTAAGTATTCCAATGTGTTCATGGCTGTTATTTTAGCAGTTAGTGTGAGAGAGACAGAGAGACAGAAAGTATGTGCATGTGTTATGTAGGTATTCCAATGTGTTCATGGCTGTTATTTTAGCAGTTAGAGTGAGAGAGACAGAGAGACAGAAAGTGTGTGCATGTGTCATGTAGGTATTCCAATGTGTTCATGGCTGTTATTTTAGCAGTTAGAGTGCCACAGCCCACATGTGGTGGTTAAAGGACACAAACCCTTGCTTTCCATTAAACAGGGTCTTTCGTCCTTCATGAGGACATAAGCAGTCTAGCTGGCCTGTGACCTTCCAGGGATTCCCCTGTCAGCACATCCCATCTCACTATTGGAATACGAAGATCACAAACACCCTCTAGCTTTGTGCAAGGTCTGAGGCTCTTGAGTCTGCAGTTTGCACAGCAAGTACTTTGCCCTGCAGCAGGCAGGTTTCCAAAGCAATGAAAGGCAAGCTCATTAGCTACTACCTCGAGTTATGCATTAGAGGGTTTTATGCCTTTGCTAGTTTTTGTTAGCACACAAAGTAACAAATTTTATTATGGCATTTCCATGCATGAATGCCATACTATATTCTGTGCACTGGAAATACCTCTCTAAAGATTTGTCAACAGGAAAATATCGTCTTTACCTCTTCTTGTCCAAATTGCTCCATAGAATCACAGTATACTTCACTATCTGAATCACTTGTCAAATGATGTATTCCCGAAGCATCTTCACTGGGATCTTCATTTGTATCTAAATACGAACAAGTAAATGTTCAGGCAGTGTAACTATACTCTAAGACAAGAAAAATACATTTTCATTCTATTTTTCACAATTCAGCAGTTCTATATTATACTCATTCTGGGAGAGAAATCTGTCTACCAGGATGGTCTCAAATCCACAAGGTTCCTACCTCAGCTTGTGAAGTGCTAAAGTTACAGGTATTCCACTACACCTGGTTCCAAGTCAGGATATTTTTTTTAAATAAGCTTCCAAAACTTTCTATCTACATAACTGAACAAATGTCAGCTAGACTCAGGCAGTTAAGGCAGGAGAATGATCAGCAGTTCTAGGCCACCATGTCTACCGAGCTTGGTCCTAATAAAATACACCATGCCTCAGAGACCAGAGGAACTGGCAGCCAAGCCTGCCAACCTGAATTCACTCCCCAGAACTCACATGGTGGAAACTCAAGGTGTCCTTCCTGACCTCCACAGACCCTCCAGTCTTACTGTGATACACACACCACACACTATGAACAAAATAAAAAAAGAAACAAAGTAAGAAAATGCCCTGACTCTAATTCACTGTGCTTCAAAGTAACTAACCCTTAAGCATTAACAAACCCTCGTAAGACATTACTAAACACATTCTTAAGTCCTAAATGATTCCTAAGCATTCTAGAACTATCAGAGTATTTTAACTGTCGGAAAAAGATTAGAGTAGGCACTTGAGGGCAATACCTTGGTGAACAGAGACAGCAGTGTTTGCAGTCCGCTGCAAGCTCTGTTCTCCAGGCTTCTCATCTTCACTGTTTCTGGTACTCCGGGAAGAATCGGTATGAATGTCACTGTGTATATCCTGAGCAAAGCTATCTTTATAGCCATTGGTAACAATGATTTCCAAATTCTTATCTGTTGATTTCTTCATCATTTTCTTATCTTGTATGGAAAAAAAAAAAAAAAAGAAGGAGATGTACAAAAGTATCTAGTAGCCCGCCATTAAAAGTTAGCCTTTAATCCCAGCACTCAAGGGGCAGAAGAAGGTGGACTCTGAGTTCAGGGCCAGCCTGGTCTACATAGAAAGAAAAAAATTTTTTTTTTCTATAATCTCTAGTCAATTCCCAAACTACCACAATCCTCTGAATGGCTTCCTATCTGGAGAGGAGAAATGTTCCTTGCAAGAGGAACTACTACATGCCAAAGCTCACTCAAACTTCGTATTAACTTTTCAAACTGCTCCCATTCCCCATGACTCTTCAAGAGTCCTTTAAAAACTCCTCCCCTTCCTCCTCTTTCTCCTCTCCCTCCTCCTCCTCCTCATCATCATCATCACCATCATCATCCTCATCATCACCATCATCTCGGGCTACAGAGATTGTCCGGAACCTATGTCAGACTCACAACTTCCCAGAGCTCCTGCTCCAGAGGATCCAATACCTTTTGCTGGCTCTGTAGGCAACAATATGCTTACAGACTCACACAAAGATAAAATAAATCTCAAAATGGGAAAAAGATTTAAAAGAATATTATCATGCTCTTTCCTTTGGCTTCTGTGGTTATTTTGTTTTGTTAAGACAGGACCTCAGTATACAGTACTTCTCATAGAGACTGCCTCCCAATCATTGAAATTAAAGGTGTCCGCCACCATGTGAAACCCATTTTGGTTTTTCTGAGAAATAGTTTCACTATGTAGCCTTAAATGGTCTACTATTCACTTTGGAATTCAGCAATCCTCCTGTCTCGGCCTCTTGCCTATAGGATTAAATCAACAAACCTGGCTTCAAACATAATCCTTTGAGCTAGAGATCAACAAGTAAATGTACTTGCTGTAAAGTCTGACGACCTGAGTTCAATCCCCAAGTCCCATATGATGGAAGAAGAGATCTGACCCCCAAAAGCTGTCGTCTGATGTTCATATGTGCACTATGGCATACAAGCACACAGACACCTATGCATGCATGTATGAGTACATGCATATAAACGTATACACAAACAAAAGGTAAACAAATTTGTTAAAATGCACACACACACACAAAAGAACTTGGTGGCAGACACCTTTCGTCCTAGCTCTTGGAAACAAAAGCAGGGCAATCTTCAATTTTGTGAATTTGAGGCCTGGTCTACATAGCAAGTTCCAGGACAGCCAGGACTACACAGAGATAACCTGTCTCTAAAAAACAAAAGTTAAACCTATTTTCATTTTATTTTTATGTATATGGATGTTCTGCCTACATGTATGTCTGTGAATCACATGCAAGCCTGGTGCTCTAGGAAGCCAAGAGAGAGCATTAGATGCCCCTGAAAATGGGAATTCAGAAGGCTGTGAGCCTCCATGTGGGTACTGGGCTATAAACACAGGTCCTCTGGAAAAGCAGCCAATGGTCCTAACAACTAAGCCATCTCTCCAGCCCCTAGAATAGTGTCCAAACGTTTTTACATTATCTCAGACAAAGTGCTCTAAAACCTAGAAATGAAGAAGACTACCAATAAACTAATCCAAAAAGAACAGAGTGTGAAAGCAAATCTAAGTTGGGCAGATTTAATATCTCTTTCTGTAATTAGAATTTCTTGTCCTTCTACTACTAGAGCATCAGAATGGGGTATCCTGTGATTCTAGTACTCCATCAGATTTATGCCCGAGGTGATCAAGTGACACAATGTAATCTCAACACTCTGGAGACAGAATCAGGAGGATTGTTAAATTTGGAATCAACCTGAGCTACATAGTGAGACTCAGTCTCAAAATATTTAGAAATGAGCACATAGCTCAGGGTAGAAAGTTTGTCTACTACATGCCAGGACTTGCATTCAATCCTCAGCAAGCAAAAATACGTTTATGCCTATATTCTATTTTCTAAATTCCATTTTATTTTTGATAGAATGTTAAAGAATTTTGATAGAATGCTAAAGTACATATAAATATATCCGTTCTAAAAATAACACCATAAACAATATATGTATGGGGCTAGGGATGCATAACATTATTCCTTGCATAACATTAATGAGCCAGGGCCTTAAATGTCAACAATGCATAAACTGAGCATGATAGCACTCACCTGTGATCCAGCAGGGAGACTGGAGGTAGGAGGATCAGAAAGTCAAGGTCATCCTCAGCTACAGAACATATCTAAGGCCAGCCTAGGATGACTGAGGCAGAGTTTCCAAAAATTAAAATTATAAATACTGGGATACAGAGATGGGTTAGCAGTTAAGAACATTGGTTGCTCTTTCACAGGGCCTGGGTTCTATTCCCTATATCCACATGGCATCTCACAACCATCTGTAATTCTAGTTCCAAATTCCGTTTTCTGGCCTCTTGAGGGAACTGCAGGCACATAGTACACAGAAACACATGCAGACAAAACACCCATATGCATAATGAAATAAAAGTAAATACCTCTTACTTAATTATAAAGTACGTCACTTTATGTCCACCCTCAGCTAACTCCTATTTGATTTATGGTAAAGGCTGGCTGCCCAGATATTCTATAGTGGAACATTTTGATCGACTGAAAATCTTGATAGTGGAAACAATACCCCAAATGGCTGCCACATGCATTAATCACATACAATTTAAAAAAAAATTGGCACAAATGTTCTCATGTCCTTTTATCTTATCAAGTACAGAATTATTAACTGTATTAATCAGGTACCCAACACCTACCATCACTGCCACTTTTTTCTGCTCCTTTTAACTCTTCTTGGGCCTCTTCTTCCTCAGACTCAGCCCCACTATCACTGCTCTCCGCTTTACCATTAACAGCTTTGGCATTTGAAGAGGTCAGAACATTACCAAGATCTAAAACATGAAATGAAAACACGGGTCAGAGTCTATCGTTCCAAGAGACCTAGGTTCAGTTTTTAGTACCTACATGGTGGCTTATAGCTGTCCATAACTCCAGTTCCACTTACATACACACAGGCAAGACACTCAAAATACATAAGATAAAAACCAGTACCTCCTGGGTGACTCTTACACATTACCAAGTACAGCTGCAGCATGAGGTACAATGTTGGCTAACTATGAACACATCTTCTTTGTGCTCTCAAAAATCACTTCCCAGAAGATTTCACCTCAGCAATGCTGGTCTCTTCTTTTTTTTTTTAAGATTTATTTATTTATTATATATGAATACGCTGTAGCTGTCTTCAGACACACCAGAAGAGGGCATCAGATCTCATTACAGATGGTTGTGAGCCACCATGTGGTTGCTGGGATTTGAACTCAGGACCTCTGTAAGTTCAGTCGGCGCTCTTAACCACTGAGCCATCTCTCCAGCCCACTGGTCTCTTCTTAATCACTGCTAATTTCTTAGCTCCAGCTAACCAGAATCAGTTGTCCCAGTAGTCCCTTCTATTTTTCACTCTAAAGCCAGAGCCACATGGCCAAAGCTGCCAAGTTCTGCTGCTTGCTGGGGCTGGAACATGGCCCCCTTGTTCTATTACATCATCACCAGCTCTCTGTTTTCCAACTCCTTCACAGCCTAAGCTTGGCTGTCCTGGAACTTGTACTGTCGACTGACTTTGAACTCAGAGATCTGCTTACCTGTCTCCTAAGCACTGGGATTCAAGGTGTGGTCCACCAAGCCTGGATTTAAGTTTTTCTTCACCTAGAACTTGCTCTGTCTCAGGCTGGCCTTGAACTCAGAGATCTGCTTGTCATTGCCTCCTGGGATTAAAGGCTTGTACTACCTACCGTGCTTGGACCTAAATTTAGCTGGGTGGGATCTTGCCCCAAGGTCACTAATCCCTTAATTCAAATTAATATCCTTGAACACATGATTCAGCTCCATTTCATTTCCTGGTGCTACTTTAATACTGGAACCATATATTTTATATTTTCCCTTCTCAGCTTGCTATTCTTGTTTAAAATGTTCTTCATGAGACTTAAAGAAAAATGTCCATGATGGGTGTTTCTGAGACTTCCTTTGTCAGTGCAATTGATCTGAGTCTCTTCACCTTAGCCTCAGGCACTCTTCAGTCAAGGGCAAAAAGTATCCACATTCTTCACCAAAATACCACAAAACCAGTCTCTAGGCTACATATTGAAACTCTCCACTGAACCCTCTTGTGCCAAGTCTGCACAATTCAAATCACTCTCAGTATCAAGGTCTTCCATATTCCTACTAGGATAGCCCATTAAGCCCTATTTAAAGCATTCCACTGCTTTTCAAATCCAAAGTCCCAAAATCCACATTCTTCCAAGAAAAAGCATGGTCAGGCTTATCACAGCAATACTGGTCCCTGGTATCAACTTCTGTCTTAGGGTTGTACTGCTATGAACAGACACCATGACCAAGGCAAGTCTTATAAAGGACAACATTTAATTGGGGCTGGCTTACAGGTTCAGAGGTTCAGTCCATTATCATCAAGGTAGGAGTATGGCAACATCTAGGCAGGCATGGTGCAGGAGGAGCTGAGAGTTCTACATCTTCATCTAAAGGCTGCTAGTAGAAGACTGACTTCCAGGAAGCTAGGATGAGGGACTTAAGCCCACGCCCACAGTGACACACCTACTCCAACAAGGCGACACCTCCTAATAGTGCCACTTTCTAGGCCAAGCATATACAAACCATCAGAACACATAATGGTATTCTCTTACTATATACATTTATGACTATACAAATTCCTCCAATAACCAGTTTACAGCAAAAACAATAACACTGTTCTTAACTATCCTTTTTAAAGCCAAGGGAGAATTAATTTTAAAATTGACATCAATTGAAAAAGTTGGAAATAAATGAATGACCTTCATACATTTACATGACAAACAGTTTGCTAGCCTGTGTAAACATCAATATACTATTTTAGCCTTATCAAGAGTCCTAAATAGTATAGATGGACTCCATTTTAATTGCTTGTTTGTTGTTGATAAAGCTTCACATTACAGCCTTGGATGGTTTAGAACTCACGATGAAGATCAGATGGGCTCAAACCTACAGTAGTCCTCCTGCCTCTGCTTCCAAAGTGCTAGAATGACTGGCACACAGCCCACCCAGCTAATTTCTTTCTATTAATCAGAGACTGCTACAGGAATCTGTACCATCATCCTTGCACAGGAGCTGTGCTAATCACAGTGTTGTTCAGTTTTGTACTGTGCTGCTGAATCAGGCACAAGACACTTTGTTTGTTTGTTTTATTTTCTTTTAACTTTAGGGTTTGGGGTATACAGACTAAAATCCACCTGCCTAGGCCTCTGAAGTGCTGGGATTAAAGGCATGTGCCATCACCACCAGCAATGAAAACTTTTTTTAAAGCATCAATTTCATCACTTAAAGAAGCAAACTGTGGCCGGGAGTGGTGGTGCATGCCTTTGATCCCAACACTCAGGAGGCAGAGGCAGATAGATGTAGGTGAGTTCAAGGCCAGCCTGGCCCACAAAGTGAGTCCAGATCAGCCAAGGCTATTACACAGAGAAACCCTGTCTCGAAAAAGAAAAAAAAAAAAACGCAATTGTATTGGCCAAAGTTTACCCTAAGAGGAGACACAAATTGTAATGTGCTTATCCATCAACTGAAATCTAATTAGAATACAAATCTAAAATCAGTAGTTCTAGAGTGATCTAAAATTGTCCATATCCATAAAGGATATTACCAATGCTGTTGGGATCTGGACCACATTTTGAGAAACCACAGTGAATAATACTATCTGCATAGTCTTTTTAGCATACTAATGTATACTAAAGAAGGTAGAGAAAGCTAGGTATGGTACCTGTAATACCAGTACTCAGGAAGCTGCAGCAAGGAGATCCTGAGTTTAGGTCAGCATAATCTACACACTAAATGCTGTTAAAATCAAATAAAACAAAACAATAATACCTCCCCACCCCCACCCCCAAAAAAAAAGAGGGAAAAAGATGTGCTCGTCTGCCATAAAGTTTTTGGCTCTTTCAATACAAAAATGAACTTTGGGCATTTAAGGTGTCTCAGTGGGTTGAGATGTCCTCCATCAACCTGATTTGAGTACAATTCAGCTCTCAGGACCCACAGTGATGGATCTAAGAAAGCCAGATCCTGGAAACTATCCTCTGATCTCCACAATCACACGGGTGTGTACACTCAAACAAAATTTAACATAAAAGCTATTCAAGCCAGGCAGTGGTGACGCACGCCTTTTAATCCCAGCACTTGGGAGACAGAGGCAGGCAGATTTCTGAGTTCGAGGCCAGCCTGATCTACAGAGTGAGTTCCAGGACAGCCAGGCCTACACAGAGAAACCCTGTCTCGAAAAACCTAAAGAAAAAAAAAGGGGTGGAGGGGGAAGCTATTCAAAAGAAAAAAAAAAAAAAGTCCAATTATACGAAATTCCAAAATATCCATACACCTTAAACAGTGAGACCTGTGTCTTTGTTTTTTTTCTTGGTTTTTTTGGTTTTGTTTTGTTTTGTTTTTTGAGACAGGGTTTCTCTCAGTAGCTGTCAGTCCTGGAACTAACTTTGTAAACCAAACTAGCCTAGAATTCACAAAGATCCGCCTGCCTCTGCCTCTGGAGTGCTGAGATTACAGGCTTGACACACCATCACCACCCAACAAGGCCTCCATTCTTATTTAAATCTACCTAACTAACCAAACAAAAGACTAAAACTTCAAGCCTATTTTCTATTATAGAATCATGACATCTCCATAGTTTGTTTTGTAGTTCTAAGAATCAGACTATGGGGCTTATCCATGATAGGCCTTTAATCCCAGTAATTAGGAAGGAGAGGCAGGAGGATCTCTGAATGGGGAAAAAAATTTCAAGTACTAGGAGGTGGCGGAAAGAAGATAACTGTTCCAGGTCAGCCTCCTCTACATAGTATGCTTTGGGCCAACCAGGACTATATATACCAAGACTGTGTCATAAATAAATGAACATGTAAGTAAGTACAGAGCAGGTGGCATGGAGGCACACTCCTGGAACCCCACAACCTGAGAGGTGGAAACAGACTGACCAGGGTTCAAGGCTATCCTCATCTATATAATAAGTTCAAAGCCAGGGTTATGACAAGAAACTGTTTCTAAATAAATAAACATTTTACAAATAAGCTAAAACATAATTAATCCATGGTATAAATAACATATTTCACAAGACAAAATCATTTATGAAAACACACTGGACAGCGAGATGGCTCAGTAGGTAAAGGCACTTGCTGCCACACCCGAGGGCCTGAGTCTGACCCCTAGGACTCACTAGAAAGAAACACACAGCCGAATCCCAGTTTGCCTTCTGACCTCTGCCCTCAGCATAGCAGCATTCGTTCACTTAATAGATAAGTTTTTCTAATTTAATTAAGAACACAAAAAACTATGAGTTACATATTTTTGTAATATAAAAAGTAAACCACTTGGCAAATTTTAATAAGGTTAAAACATACAGTTTAATATTTTAGAATCTCAATACATTTACTTTGGATAACAATTTCTAGATGATAAATTTATGTTTTATGTATGTGTGAGAATTACTTTTCCATAAACTTTATTATTTATTTTTCTATTAGTATTTTTAGCTATTAAATTTTATTTTATGTTGGGGTATTTTGCCTGCACATATGTCTGTGCACCACTTGCATGCCTGGTACCCTCAGAGACCAAAAGATAGCACAAGATTCTGTAGAACTAGAGTTAAAGACAGTTGCGAGCCACCATGTCAGTGCTAGGAAGTGAACCCAGAACCTCTGGAAGAGCAGCCAGTGCTCTTAACCACTCAGCCAGCCATCTCTTCAATCCCGTTACTCATCTTTACTTTTATGTTTCAGGGTATGTGAGTATGATGGGATTCCATGGGGGGTTGGCCACAAAGCCAAGATGGCATCTAGTGATATCTTAGAGCCAGAGTAATAAGCAGGTGTAAGCAGCCTGACACAGCTGCTGGGAATCATACTTGATCCTCTGCAAAATAGTAAGTGCTCTTAACCACGGAGCCATCACTCCAGCCCCACTGCCCTGCAAATGTTAAACACAAGTTTTACATGGATTTCATCATTCCTACCTTCTAAGTACTTGGAGATTTTCTCCAATCGGACTGGCATGTGAAAGTAAAAGAGAAGATTAGACATACAGGTGTTAGTGTATGCATAATATATCAGCTGCTGAGTTAAGAAAAAAAGTTAAACAGCACTTTGTGGGATTAAACACGCCTGTAATCGAGGATACAGGGCAGGGAGGCAGGAAATTAGTGAGTTAGAGGTCAGCCTGGCCCCACCTTTTTCATAAGATGGTGTGTCTTAAAAAGAAACAAAGATCATACAACCTGAGGTCAAGTCAGAACTTGGGCTGCTCTTTTTGTCTTCTACAATCTCATAAAATGGACCTATAACATGCAGCAACTCTTCCACTTTCTCAGTCATGGGCATAGTTTCAATAATCTGTAAGTAAGACAGAGGGATGCTGTAAAATCATCAACTATTAAATTGATCTGCAGTGGTATAAAATGTACTTTTTCTAGGTTTGTCAATAATTTTCAGATTTGAAATCGTTAGCACACCGGGCGGTGGGGGTGCACGCCTTTAATCCCAGCACTTGAGAGGCAGAGGCAGGCGGATTTCTGAGTTCAAGGCCAGCCTGGTCTACAGAGTGAGTTCCAGGACAGCCAGGGCTACACAGAGAAACCCTGTCTCGATAAAACAAAACAAAACAAAAAAAAAAAAAAAGAAAAGAAACAGAAAAGACCACACAGGTAAATGACTATGTAAATAAGTAAAGTAGCTGGAGCAAAGGTGAAGTCATTAGCACACATCCCAAAGGGAATAATATAATAATATAAATATATAAATATATAAATATATATATATATATATAATTTATACTTATATATACACACATGTACATATACAGATATATGTAAAATGTATACAGACTACATTTTGTTTTCAAGCAAATTGAAGATATATTTACTAAAGATCTAAAAGTCTTGGGGCTACAGAGATGGCGTACCTGTTAGAGAGAACTTGGCATTCTTAAAGGGAACCCAGGCTCAGTCCCCAGCACCCACATGGTGGCTTACAAGCATCTGTAGCTCCACCTCTACCCTCTGAGGGCTCCTACATGCATGTGCTCCACTCCACATACACTCAGGCACACATGCATACACATAAAGAAAAAAATTTTTTTTATTTTAAAAGTATTCTCATTCAAAAAGTATTTTACACAGGCTTCACGTGAAACTCTATGTAAGAATCTTTAAGTTGTACATTAAAACCTGGGGTGTGGCATGGCACTAGAACGAAGTATCCCCTCAGATCCACTGCTTGATACTAAGGAAGCTTCTAAGAGAACATAAAGCAGTAACTGATAAACACTTTGACACCTTCAAGACCATAGGACAATTTAGAATCCTCTATTTGTTTGGGTTTAGGTTTGGGGTTTGTTGTTGTTTTTGTTTGGGGTGAGGGGGTAAGTACACAGACCTCACTTTGTTGCCCTGACTGTCCTGGAACTCCCTATGTAGGCCAGGCTGGTCTTGAACTCCTACATAAAAGTCCAGGGTGCTAGAATTACAAGTGCAAGTAATTGTAATTACTTGCTCTCTTTCTCACATTAAACTGTGGCTAAACCATTACTTTATAAAACTGAACAGAAAAAAAATAAATAAAGACTACTGTCAGTTCAACTTTATACTGAATTATATAAAGGTATCCTGAAAATTATACATTATTTGAGGTTAAGAAAGGTCAGCAGGGCCGGGCAGTGGTGGCGCATGCCTTTTAATCCCAGCACTTGAGAGGCAGAGGCAGGCGGATTTCTGAGTTCGAGGCCAGCCTGGTCTATAGAGTGAGTTCCAGGACAGCCAGGGCTACACAGAGAAACCCTGTCTGGAAAAAACAACAAAAAAAAAAAACCAAAAAAAAAAAAAAAAAGGTCAGCAGGCTGGCTCAGTGTGTAAATCTTTAAGTTGATTTACTTAAAGCCAGGCAGACAACCAGAGGTCAACATCAGCACCCATACAATAGAAGGAGAAAACCAATCCCTACAGGTTGTCTTCTGAGTGTCTCACATGCACTATGACACACATACACACAAATAACTAAGTATAACTTTTTAAACAATTATCAAACTGCAATGCCTTTGATTTTCTCTGCTTCTGAAAGGCACCTTTGTGTTTATGCTACTGATAGTGCTAACAGCAGAAGAATTAAACTCTGCCCTCTGTGCTAAAGTCCACTAAATCAAAGTTGTGAAATGTAACAAAGGGCACAACGAAGAGTAGCATAAGCAAGACAAAAAAAATTTTAAAATCTACATTTTCCAAATAGAAATTGTTGAAAACCCTCTGGGGCTGGGGAGACTAATTCCCTTATTACAGATTTCCTTTATGCTCAAAAGGAATTTCTTTAAGATAATCAGACATTGCTGGGCATGTAGTTGAGCTAACAGAGTGTTTTCCCAGCATGCATGAAGCCATGGGGCTCTGTCTCCAATACCACATAAAACAGGGCTGTATGGTGCCCGTCCATAAGGTCATCTTCTGTCATTTGTCAACATTTAGGCTGCTTAAGCTATTTATGACCTTGTCATAAATAAATAAATAAATAAATAAATAAATAAATAAATAAATCATAGGTGCTGGACAGACAGCTTAATAGTACAGTAGCTGACTTGACTGGCATGGTTTTAATCCCAACTACTACCACATACAAAAAAAGTAAATTCAAGCTCCTTTGAGTATTTTTTATTCTCTGCTATAAATTATTTCCCCTACCTTTTTCATTTCTTCAACATATGCAATCATGGCTTCTTCTTTAGTCATATCACCCAGCGAACTCCAAGCATCCCTAGAAATTAAAATTCAAAAGTAATAACAAGAGATACTTGATTTTTGACCTAGGTATCATAGCTCATGCCTGAAGTCATTAAAGAATGCAGTTAAGCTAAGTGCAGAAAGTGAGTGCAAGTAGAGAAAATCCTATGGAGTGAACTAAACACATCTCAGAAAGACAAACTTCCTCTCATTTACAGAGGTTAAGCTTGAACAGAAGCTCATGTGTGTACCAACGCCATCCAAGCTAAGTGAAATGAGGGGCTAATGAAAGGGAGCAAGGGGAGCAGAGCAGAGCACGGGAGGAAGGTACTCAGAGAACACTCCATACAGGCATGTACATGGCTGCATGGAACCTTTTATAATCATTTTTGAAAATATAAAAAAAAAATAGAATTTTAGGGCTAGCACCATGGCTCAGCAGTTAAGAGCATTGACTGCTGTTCCAGAGGTCCTAACTTCAATTCCCAGCAACCACATGGTGCCTCACAACCATCTGTAATAGGATATGATGCTCTTTTCTGGTGTGTCTAAAGACAGCTACAGTGTACTACTCATATATGTAAAATAAATGAATAGTCAAAAAATTAAAATTTTAATACATTAAGCATTAACCCATCAGCATATTTATGGAGCACAGAAGACTATAAACCATTCATAAACCTTTCCTAAGCACCCTCTCAAAGGTTTTAAGGAGTTTTAAAAATTTATTAGTATGTGTGTATACCTACAGGAATTTATGTGCACCACTTGTGTGCAGGAACTCACAGAAGCCAGAAGAGGTTGTTGGATTCCTGGAACAGGAGTTACAGGCAGTTGCCAGACAACATATGGGTACTGGGAACTAAACTTAGGTCCTGTGAAAAGGTAAGTACACTTAACCACTGAGCCATATCTCCAGCCCGAAAGATCTTTGTGTGTGTGTGTGTGTGTGTGTGTGTATGTGTGTGTGTGTGTGTGTATGTATATGTGAGCCTGAGTGTGTATGTGTATCATTTACATGCAATTGCCCTCACCGGCCAGAAGAGGGCATTAGATCTGGAACTGGAGTCTCAGGCGGTTGTAAGACATCTAAGTGTGGGTGCTAGGAACCAAACCCAAGACCTCTGCAAGAACTCTCCAGCCTCAAAAAAAAAAAGGTTTTATGTCATTATAAAGAATAGTAAAGCTAGGCAGTGGTGGCACATGCCTTTAATCCCAGCACTTGGGAAGCAGAGGCAGGCGGATTTCTGAGTTCGAAGCCAGCCTGGTCTACAGAGTGAGTTCCAGGACAGCCAGGGCTACAAAGAGAAACCCTGTCTCCAAAAAAAAAAAAAAAGAAAAGAAAAAGAAAAAAGAAAGAAAGAAAAAAAAAGAAAAAAGAAAAAATAATAATTAATAACAGTAATGAATAGTTTGGAAAATTTTAAGAACTCTGAAAGCCACATTGTAAACAAATAAACATTTTGGTTAAAATTCCATTAATTTAAATATGCAACAAATTTGTATACTAGAACTAAGGATGGACCAGGACTGAGGATGTAGTTCAGGTGGTAAACGTACGTGTCTAGCATGCACAAGGCCCTGGGTTCAGTCCTAAGCATGGAATAAATTAGCAATCGTAGTTCATGCTTGTAATCTTGCCTGTAACCCCAGATCTGGGAAGGCAGAGAGGGAGAGCAGAAGTTCAAGGCCATCCTCAGCTACATGTGAGTTTTAGGATGAGACTGTCTCAACAAAACACAAATCCTGTCTTAAAACATTTTTCTTGGAAGCAGTTAACTCTGCCAAAGGTCAAATCTAGGGAAAGAAATGATTTCCTCATCTGTGAATCTAATGGTTTGTTTGAAAACATGATGCACTAATAATCATACTCTACTGATAAAGTATAATCTAAAATTAACCTTTATTCAGATATTTGTAAATCTGCAGTAGTCTTTACAGATATCAAGCTCTTCACAAGTATTAGTTGATTCAGAAAACAGAAGAGCCATCTAGATATCTCATGGCTCTTTTAGCTACAACATTAACCACCACCAATATTATTCTCAAGGGTCAGAAGTCACCTTAGACCAAAGTTAATATGGCAATCCCTGAGTCATACCTTGTTACACATTACCTTAAAGTCTCAAAGCAAACAATTCACTTGACAAACAAAGCCACTATTTTCTTTGGCAGCTCAAATAGATAAAAAAAGAGTTGGTTTTGGGTTTTTTTTTTCTTTTTTTTCTTTTTCCTCTTTTTTTTTTTTTTTTTTTTTTTTGTCCTTATACTCACTATGTAGCCAAAGTTGGCCTTGAATTCTTGATCCTTCTGCCTCTGCCTTGGACTGCTAGAATTACTGAGTTGTACTACCAACATCAAACTTGTTCATTTAACATGAGGGATTAATCTGGGAGTAGAGGAAGAAACCTCTATAAAAGAAAAGGAAAACTAAGTACAAACATTTTCTTAGTTTTTTATCTATAAAGTACCTACTCATGACATTTTCCTGTTTTCCTACCTTCCCCAAAATTTTTCTAATTATGTAAAAGTATATTAAGGACACTTTAAAAAATAAAATTGTGAAGTATACCTAGGATGCTTTATGCACAAAACACATAAATAACAGCTAGATAATTAACTCATTTAAATTAAAAGTCTTTCTTAGCTCTATAAATGAAATTACCATTTATATCTTCCAATAGGATCCCAGAATCCAGGCCTTGAAAGTTTACAGGGTCCTTCAGTTGCCTGTTTGTAGAAGCTATAGAACTTAAGCATCATTTCATTTGTTGGTTGGAATGATCCTATGAGAAACATACATTAAATACAGATCACTTGGGACTATGACTCATAACATAAAAAGCCCTGTATTAGCTTAGCCACACACACTTAGTGATTTTCTGGTTTGGTTTTATTCAGATACAGTATAACACTGTAGCTCAGGCATGCCTGACCTGCTATGCAACCCAAACTGGCATCAGATTCATAGCAATGTTCCTGCATCAGCTTCCTGAGTACTGAGTTAAAGCAGCAGCCACCACACCTGGGCTAAAGCTCCTTTCAAGAAGTTCTGGAAGTTCAAACTTTTAAGAACAGTATCAGTTCAATAAATAAACTAGCAACCATTTTAGAGATGTAACTGAAATAACCAGCAAAGTGTTACATTAAAAAAAATATATGTGAGCCGGGCAGTGGTGGCACACACATTTAATCCCAGCACATGGGAGGCAGAGGCAGGTGGATTTCTGAGTTCAAGGCCAGCCTGGTCTACCGAGTGAGTTCCAGGACAGCCAGGGCTACACAGAGAAACCCTATCTCCAAAACAAAACAAAACAAAACAAAAAATATATGTGTGTGTGTGTGTGTGTGTGTGTGTGTGTGTGTGTGTGTGTGTGTGAAGAACTATTTTCAAAGAAATTAATGGTGGTCAGGCAATGGTGCAAACCTTTAATCCCAGCAATCTGGAAGCAGAGGCACTTGGATCTGAGTTCAAGGCCAGCCTGGTCTACACAGTGAATTCCAGAATAGCCAAAGCTACGTAGAGAAACCTTGTCTCTAAAAACAAAACACCAAAAAATGAAAGAGAGAGAGGGAGAGGGAGAGGGAGAGAGAGAGAGAAAAAGAGAGAGAGAGGGAGAGAGGGAGGGAGGGAGAGAGAGAGAGAGAGAGAGAGAGAGAGAGAGAGAGAGAGAGAGGGAGAGAGAGAGAGAGAAATAAAGAAAGGTGTCCAAAACTAACTAGATCTCCCAAAGTCCTTTATCTGGTAAAAACTTGAAATCTGGCCAAAACATTTGTATTTAATAGCCAACATAACCATGTAGTTTTTTCACTTGGGCCACTGAGATTCCCACAGGAGCTTTACTTTCCATAATAAGCTATTATACATGTTAATATATTTTTTTATGTTTCCAATATCATATCTTTTTGGGTTTGTTTGTTTATTTGTTTGTTTGTTCTGATTTTTGAGACAGAGTTAATCTTGGTAGCCCTGGCTGTCCTAGAACTCGATTTGTAGACCATAATAGCATCAAACTCAGAGATCCACCTGCCTTTGCCTCCCAAGCGCTGGGATTAAAGACATTCACAATCACCACCCAGCTAACATCTTTATATTTAAAACTCTCAAATTATATAAGCAAGTACTGTAAGTTACAATATTCAATAAAAGCCACAAATTTAAATATCCATATTTTAAATAATTATTATACTTATTAAAAGACTAATTGTTCATTACAGTTCTAAAAACTATATTGCAGAAAAAAATATAAATAAAGGCATAAGAAGTTTCATGACCTGCTATCAAATGAGGGAAAGAAGAAAGCGTCTTTAAAAGGCTCAGTAGTTAAGAGCACTGGCTGCTCTTGTACAGACCCTATGTTTGACTCCCAACACCCATGTGGCAACCCACAACCATCTATATCTCCATCTTCGGGGTATCTGATACCCTCTTCCAGCAGTCATGGGAAGAGACACATAATCAGACACAAACAAGCAGGCAGAACCCTCACACACATTTGAAAAAAAAAAAAACACCATATATAATTACACCAAAATAAGTGTGTGTGCATGTATAAATAATAGAATATACTAAGTGAGATTACCTCTCTGTAATCTCAGCACATAGGAAACAGAAGCAAGAGGATTACAGGTAGACTGCCAGCATGGGATGATCAGTAGGGTTACATAGTATGTTCCAGGCTAGCACATTAAGTGTAAGTGTGTGTGGTGGTTTAAATAGGAATGGCCCCACAGACCCATGTGTTTGAACACTTGGCCTATAGGTGTGGCATTATTAGGATGTATGACCTTGATGGAGTAGGTGTGGCGTTTTTGGAGGAAGCATGTCACTGTGGAGGCATGCTTTGAGGTATTATATGCTCAAGCTATGGCACTGTGGCACTCAGTGGCTTCTGTTACCTGTGGATCAAGATGTAGAACTCTCAGCTCCTTCTCTAGGACCATGTGTATCCCTGCATGCCACCATGATGAAAACTGACAAAATCTCTGAAACTGTGAGACAACCCCAAATAAATATTGTCCTTTATAAGAGTTGCCTTGGTCACAGTGTCTCTTCACAGTATAAAACCCTAAGACAGTGGGTATCTGCATGGGTATCCCCATGGGAGTGCAGTTGCCCGATGATATAAAATCCCATGAAGCTAGAGTCCCAGGAATTTGTGAGTGACCTGATGTGAGTGCTAGGAACTGAGCACAGGTCTGGAAGAGCAGCAACCTCTTAACTGCTGAGCCAGTTCTTCATCCCAGCACTGAATGCTTTTCAAAAGTGAAAATTCCTATAAAAGCAATACCTATATAGATAGCTTCAAGATAACTTATATATCAAGCATTGCATGCAGTAATCAAAAGCTAATAGTTTTTTTTTAACTAGAAATTACCACATAGTCAAATTGAAACCTAGTAGTTCAGGTTTGGCCAAGAGTGTATAATTAATTCAAGATCACCATAATAACTACCTATATAATATATCAACATTTAGGATTTTTTTTCTTAGATATAGTATTCTAACAAGATGGTTATTCTTTACACAGCAAAAAATAAAAATAGAAAAACCACAGTTAGAATGAGTTAATAGCACAAATTTAAATTTAAAAGTTCAAAAAAGTGGCGGGGGGGGGGGTGACAGCTCAGCACATCTAAGGCACTTGTAACCAAGACACCATGGAAAGAGACTGTTAACTCCTATAGGTTGTCCTCTAACCTCCACAAGCGATACACACATACACACAGTAAATATAATAAAATACTGTAACTAAACAACTTCATCCCCTATCTACAGTAAGCTAACAAAATCTACAGTTTATTGGCTTAGGTAAATGGTACATATTACACTATATATAAACAAAAACTGAAAATATATATTAAATATCCTAAGTGTAAGACAGCATTACTTCTGTCCTAAAGATGTTTCTATGACATATGCAACAGACATGTTTCAATTTACATGTCTAATAACTAAGAGTCTATCAATCCTTATATAATTAATTAACTTAGATTAGTTTGTAATTTTATTTTATTGAGCACCTGTGTATATCCATGTGCATGTCAGGACTGGTGGACACCAGAAGAGGGCATTGCATCCCCCAGAGCTGAAGTTATAGGTGGGACGGGTGGGCGCTGGGAAACAAACTTGGGTCCTCTAACAGAGGAACCATCTCCCTCGCCCCTCATTATTTTAGACTATAAATAAAAGTTAGGCAATAAATAACAAAAGCTTCAAGATCTCCTTGCAAAATAATTCAAAGCCAACCAAATACTGTAAAATAACTCTGGAACTGGGCTGGTGAGATGGCTCAGCGGTTAAGAGCACTACTGCTCTTCTAGAGGTCATGAGTTCAAACCCCACCAACCACATGGTGGCTCACAACCATCTGCAATGAGATCTGATGCCCTCATGTAGGTGTCTGGAGACAGCTACAGTGTACTCACATATAATAAATAAATAAATAAATAAATAGAAAGAAAACCAAAAATAAACCAAAGACAAATTTCATAAAAAAAAATAATAACTCTGGAACTATAGCACAATGGTAATAGCATTTGCTTAGGATGTTGAAGGCCCAAGGTTCAATCCCCAATACTGCCAATAAAAAAATACAAATAAGTAAGCAATTAAATAAAGTATTATAAGCCATGCATAGTAGAGCATATCTATAATCCTAGTACTTCAGACGCAGGAGCAAGAGATTCTCCCAAATTTGAGGCCATGTTTTTGTCTCAAAAAAACAAAAACCAACAAACAAAAAAAAAAACTACAAAAATATTTAACTTCATTGTACCAAATGTTGTCCAAATGTATCAGTTAGCTTTAGGGACAGCACATTATACGTTGTCTAACACAAGTGCCTTTTTGTCCTTTTTTTGGGGGGAGGAGGTTGTCTCTATTATTGATGGCTTCATGCCCGCTAAATACTTACTCTGGCATCCAGCTATGCCTGCCTCCTACCCTTTTTTCTTTGAAGATTAAACCCAAGGTCCCAGGAAACCTCTATCGCTGAGCTACAGTACATCACACCTCTTGCAAGGTACATTTAACAAGTTTATCTTAATTTCTCAATACTTTAAAAAAAAAAAAAAAGACTGAATCATGCTTTGTAGTCCAAACTGGATAGCCTGAAATTCATTACATATGGGTTTCTTAATATGTAGAATCTAAAATAATCAAGTAGAAAGAATAGAAAGAACAAGTCTAGCTTATCAATTTTCAAAGACCTATAAAATGCATGGCTTAAAAAAGTGAATATACTACTTACATAAAACTCTGAAATCATACTTTCCTATAAGTATTATTAATTGAACATTTAAAAATCTCAATATCTGAAGCTGGGGAGATGGATCAACGGTTAAGAACACTAGCCACTTTTCCCAAGGACCTGGGTTCAAATCCCAGTGCCCACATGGTAGTTCACAATTCTAACTGTAACTCCAGTTGCAAGGGATCTGACATCCTCACAACAGACATACATGGAGGCAGAATACCAAAGTAAATAAAATTTAAAACAATTTTTTAAATAAATGTCTCATTGAGTTCCTATATTATTTCTTTTTTTTTTTTTAAGACGGGTTCTCACAGCCGGGCGGTGGTGGCGCACGCCTTTAATCCCAGCACTTGGGAGGCAGAGGCAGGCAGATTTCTGAGTTCACAGAAATCACTCTTGATTTCTTGGTCTACAGAGTGAGTTCCAGGACAGCCAGGGCTACACAGAGAAACCCTGCCTCGAAAAACCAAAAAAAAAAAGACAGGTTCTCACTATATCCTGATCAGACTGGCCTTGAACTCACAGAGATCCAGCTGCCTTTGCCTCTGGAGTATGAGATTAAAGGCATGCATCACCACACTGGTCATATTATTCCTTCCTTCATTTACCTTATTTGGACTTACCCTTTAGTCTTCCCTGTGTTCTCCTCCAATACAAAGTGAAACATATAAAACATCATTGAGCCTAGAGCTTCTACGCAGTAGACAAGTGCTCCCTACAAAGTCATAACTCCAGCCCTCTTTATCCTCCAAAGAAGCTGGGATCACAGCCTGGCCACTGTTTTTGAAGGCGTGCAGGAACTAAATCAGGGCATTGTACATGGTAACACATGCCCTGCAAGCTTCCAAAACTGTGCCTGAAATGTTTTACTGAAATGAACTATGCTGACTATTCATTACTTAGCCAAGTGACGATAAATGAAAAGTGGGAAGGCATTAAATACCATAGTAATACAGTAATGTTATGTTTGATTTGGCCTACAAATCTAGCGCATACAGAAAAACGCTTCAGATAGTTTTAATCTAATTTATTATGAAAAGTAAATCACAATGCAAATGAATATAAAATTTCAAATTAAAAGTCTCCCTTCCCAAGCTTCTCTACTTAAAACATTGAAAGAAAAAAGTTAGTGATGGGAAAAATTCCTTAACACTGGTCAGACAAAATTACAATAAGTTTTACAAGTTGTTGCCAGGATACACACACACAAAAAAACAATGTTCGACACAGCATAGTCAAAATAATCATTTTACAAGTGAATATAGTTGTTCTTTCCTTTCACTTTATATCAAAAGTTTGTGAAGGTTTGGATTACACTTTTGAGTTAGGTAGCACCAGATATTCTGCCTCAGTTTTTGGTTTTGCTTATTAACTTACTCAAATTCAGTCAATAAGTGATAAGACTTGTTCTCAAGAATATAAACTACTTAAAACCTAGATAATACGTCGCCTTTGGCCTCAAAAATCAGCGGGTAATTAATTAACATTCAATATCATTCTTTCAATTACATTCCTTTTAACGACAGAATGGGAGGGGGCGCTAAACAACGCAGACTAGGACTACCTCGAATATTTGACCAAGAGCCACAGCACGCACCATTTTTCGGCAAACTTTGAATCACCTTCACAGCCGCCTCAAACCTGGTTTCATACACAGATCGTGTGTCCGCCATCTCCAGCTGCCAGCGCCGGCCCCGGTCCCAAGGTCTGTCCGCGGGAATCACACAGCAGCAGCAGCAGCACCAGCTTTCCCAAGAGCCTGCATGAAACTGAACACCGAGCGCAGCCGCGGATTAATGACGGGTGCATAGCTGGTCAATTCCCCTTTGCCCGCCCAATCAAGGCCACACCGACCAAGGTGGCCTGGTTCCTTCCTCCTTCGTGGGGCGTGTCTAAGAGTACATCCCAGCCAACAAAAAACAGCCAAGCAACTCACCGAGAGGAAGAGCATCTCTAGCAGCAGGCCTTCGAGGTTGCGCCGCCGGTAAGAGCGGACCCTTTCTCCCACCCGGAAGATGCTGGCCGACCAGCCACACCCCCCATTCCTGAGAAGTCCTGCAGTCGGTGGGCACCCTCCCCACAGCCCCGCCCCGGAGTCACCGGAGGACCCACTAGCCGCCGCCGCCACCGCGGTGCAGCAAACCCCACCCACCCGCTCCGCCGCGGTGACGTGAACGGGCGCGTTCTCAGAGGAGGGGAAAGAAGCTGCACGGCGCTTCGGCTCGGGTCGGTCTGCGGAGAACCCGGTGCTTGTTTATATTCGGGCTGAGGCTAGCGAGGCTGATGACGCGCTAGGATTCTATGCCAGGTCCCAAAGGTGCCCCCTGGATACCGCTCGTGTTTTAAAAATACACACACACACAAGAGTCGGTGGTCCTCAACGCCTCGGGGTTATACTGTGGAAGGGACTGAATCATAAAAAGTTGGCTTCAAAACTTCCTTTTTGAAACGTAATCTCTGTGACCTAGAAGTCACTTGGCCTCTCCTGTGGACTTACACCACGCTAGAGGAAAGGGAGATTAAGGGCAAGGATGGAAGGGCTTAGCCTTGGCCCCCAAGTCTGGGAAAGCGTTCACCGTCTGGTGCCAAGGGCAGCCGCGGAGCGAGCAAAGGTGAGCAGTGGCGGCCTGCTGCTCAACACCGCCACTACCCACTCTCCACGCCCAGGAGTCAGGCTCAGCCCACCTCCAGCCCCGCCGGAGGCTAGGGATGGAGAAGGTCGGTGCGGAACGTAATGCCCACGTCCTAGGCACTGAGAAAGCTCGCCGCAGGCTTGAGGTGCCGTGGCCGGGAAATCTCAAGGACGGCCCGTTGGGAGCGTCATTTTTGTCGCTTTACTCGTACAAATCTAGTTGTGAACTATAAGTCACTCTTCCCTCGGAGCCGCGGTGTCGGCATTTACCTTGATATAGCCAAATGACGGGCAAGGCCTGTCCGGTTTTGTCTCGACGCCTGCCCCTCACCTTGCCCCGCGGGCTTATGGGAACTGTAGTCCCCCCGGCGCTTCCGGACACCTTCCTCTGTAGGCTGGCGTCATTCTCTCCTGTTCCGGTTCGGTTTCGCCGGGTAGCCCACCCTCCCTATGTGTGGCGGAAGTTCCTTTCTTCCGGGTTACGTTTGGGGCGTCTCCGAAGTGCTTCTCTTTTTTTTTTTTTTTTTTTTGGCTTTTCGAGACAGGGTTTCTCTGTGTAGCCTTGCCTGTCCTGGAACTCACTCTGTAGACCTGGCCTCGAACTCAGAAATCCGCCTGCCTCTGCCTCCCAAGTGCTGGGATTAAAGGCGTGCGCCACCACTCACCGGCCTCGAAGTGCTCTTAAGCTTCGAGCAAAAAGCAGTCTCCGTAGCTCCTCTGACAGGCACGTACTCTGATAACATGTTCATCTGGTTGTTGCGGACAGTGTCGCCTGAAGAGTTCTTTGAGAGCTCATGCGGCCGGTACTCAAAAGTACCCTAGAAAAAATTCTGGACTCATTGATCGATTAATCAAAAAGACAAAACGTACTGGAGGAGCGCAGGCATCAAGAGAGAACCTCTCCCAAGTGCCTCACCACTTTCATATGTGTGGTGTTTTGGCAAACGTATGATCTATTTCAAAAGTACTGTAAGGTGTTTATAAATGAGGAAATGGTAGTTGACTTGCCAAAGGTCCTAAATTTAATGAGTTAGCAAGCGAAGTGTCAGTCAAATCATAAAACCTGCTATAAATGAGACTTGTCCTAATCATGTAAAAGAAAGACACAAGTTTTCTAACTTTCTCAACATGAGAACACTTTGTGTATTTACCTTTGCCTCGCCTGCGCTTTTCTTGAACTTGGGAGCTTCTGAGTCAGTCCTAGTATACTCAGGTATGCATATTCATGAAAAAGGTTTGGGTGTTTATTTTAATACTCGATTTTGACAACTGTTAATTAGACTTATGTAATACGCTACCCTACTGGTTCCGTCAATCTTTAGGTACTAATGACAACATGTTTTGTCAGTGATTGCACTGAATTTTATTGTGTGGTTTGTGTATTTCCAGTTATGGAATAGCATAAGGATAAAGGAAATTGAGGCTAGTGGAGTCAAAAAACTTTTAAAGTAGCTGCTTTTATCAAGAAGTGGAAGCAAGCTAAGTATAAACTGATAAATGGATTTTTAAAATGTGGTATGTATACATAGAAAACCGGTGAGCCTTAAGAAAAAGGAAATCTTGCCAGTGCTTATTTTTATTACATTTATTTGTGTGGATGGGGGCAGAGAGAGTACAAATGCTCAGGTCAGAGGACAGTTTACATAGTTCTCTATTTCCACCATGGGAGCTCTGGAGATTGAATTCCGGTGGTCTGTCGGGCTTGGCAGCAAATATTCTTAGCCACTAAGCACTTATGTGGTCACAGATCCTGTCATTCCTGACAGTATGATTGGAACTGTTAATCATGCTAAACAAAATGAGTCAAGCACGTGAAGACAAGTGTTGCATGATCTCATGTATGGAATATAAAAAATGTTTATCTCACCAAAAAAAAAGTTTATCTCAGAGGTTGAAAGTAGTTTATGGGAATACCACCCTAAATGGACAAAATCTGGTCCAGTCTCAGAAACTAAACAAGGTTGACATAATTTTATGTCAAAATGACATAGGCTAGAGTCAATTATCTGTGACGAGGGAACCCCAATTGAGAAAATCCTTCCATGATCAGACTCTTAGCAAGCCTGTAGAGCATTTTTTTTAATTAAGTGATTGATGTGGGAGGACCCGCCCATTGTGAGTGGTGCCATCCCTGAGCTGTTGATCCTGGATTCTGTAAGAACACAGGTTGTGTAAGCCAGTAAGCAGCACTCCTCCATGGCCTTTGCATCAGCTCTTGATCCAGGTTCTTGCCCTTTCAGTTCCTGTCCTGATTTTTTTTTTCCTTTTTTTTTTTTTTTAGGTTTTTCGAGACAGGGTTTCTCTGTGTAGCCCTGGTTGTCCTGGCACTCATTCTGTAGATCATACTGGCCTTGAACTCAGAAATCTGCCTGCCTCTGCCTCCCAAGTGCTGGGATTAAAGGCGTGTGCCACCACCACCCGGCTGCTTTCCTGACTTTCATTGATGATGAGCAGTGATGTGGAAAAGTAAGCCAAATAAACCCTTTCCTCCCCAAGTTGCTTTGGTCATGGTGTTCCATCACTGCAATAGTAACCCAAACTAGCACAGCTGCCTCTTACTTACTTGAGAGAAGTTGCAAGTAGGAGCAGGAAGTAGAAGAAAAGTGAGGGAATTTGACTCATGGTACTAAGTTAGAAGTAGATAAGAATAAGAAGAACTAGATAATCATATGTGGTATACTTCAAAAAGCTAGAAGAAAGTGAGGTGTTTAATGACAAATAATTCAAGAGGATAGAAAAATAGCTCTGGTTAAGAGCATTGACTGCTTTTCCAGAAGACCCAGGGTTCAATTCCCAGCATCTACATGGTGGCTTACAATGTCTGTAACTCCAGTTCCATGGGATCTGATGTTCTTCCTGCATCCTTAGGTACCAGGCACACATGTGGTGCATAGACATAGCCAAAATATGTACCCAAAACAATTATTAAAAATATTTAAATATCTTGTTTAAAATTGATGTGTTTAATCTGGTTTAAATATTATAGACTACATATGTATGTATATGTGTGTGTATGTGCATATATATATATATATATATATATATATATATATATTCATTCCAGACATAGACATGTACATTTTTCACATATTCCTAAGTTAATTTATTTTTGAAAATAATCAGTTGAGGGCAGGTGATATGGCTCAGTGAGTGAAAGTGCTTGCCACCAACTTAACAGCCTGAGTTCAATTCTCAGTACCCACATGTGGGAAGTCAAGAACTAATGCCCAAAACTTGTACTCTGGCTTACACATACACAAGAGAAACAGAGGCATGAAAGTCACACTGTTTGGTTTGGTTTTTGGTTTGGTTTGGTTTGGTTTTTTGAGACAGGGTTTCTCTGTGTAGCCCTGGCTGTCCTGGAACTCACTCTGTAGACCAGGCTGGCCTCAAACTCAGAAATCTGAGTGCTAGGATTAGAGTCACACTCTTAACTTGAGAGTTCAAACAAGCCTTCCAAAAATGATGAGATTCTTAGCTGAAACTAGAAAGAGAGATAACCCAGGCATGGTGTGGCATGACTTTAATCACAGCATTCAGGAAGACAGTCAAGTTTCTTTGAGTTCAAGGCCAGCCTAGTCTACATGGTGAATTCTAGTACAGCCATGTTGACAGATCCTGTCTTTAAAAAAGAAAAAAGAAATCTAGAGAAATGTCTCAGTAGTTCAGAGCACTGGTTGCTCTTGCAAAGGACTCAAGTTTGGTTCCTAGCACTCGAGTAGGGGTTAACAACCTCTAGTAACATCAGTTCTTTGGGATCCAATGCCCTCTTCTAACAGGTACCAGACACTCATGTTGGGTATATACCTTGTCGGCATAACACTCACACTCATAAAATCAAATAAATAAATCTGATTTTTAAAAAAGGTTTTGCCGGACAGTGGTGGCACACGCCTTTAATCCCAGCACTTGGGAGGCAGAGGCAGGCTGATTTCTGAGTTCGAGGCCAGCCTGGTCTACAGAATGAGTTCCAGGACAGCCAGGGCTATACAGAGAAACCCTGTCTCGAAAAACCAAATAAATAAATAAATAAAAAATAAATAAATAAATTTAAGAAAAGGAAAATTAATTTGTATAGCTATGCTGGTTTAAAGTATTAAGTCTGTTGTGATATATTCATAGATGTGATAGACTGAATCAATTCCCAAACTGCCTTCTAATTATGTGAAGTTATGATTCTAACTGAAAATTTGATCCCATGAGACAACGTTTAATGTCTTTAAGTATTTTCAATATATTACCTAATTTGAAGTATTCTTGATTATGCATTGCTATAGATGTTTTATTTTTAAAATACTTTTGCATATGGCCATAAAAATGTAAAGTGATACATTTATGTGTCCTAAGAAGCATAAATGAATAAAGATTAAGTTTGAAAGGGTTATTTTAGATGTTCCTTCTT